CGTCCTTGATCAGTGTCATTTTAAAGCACGAACACAGTCGTTTTGATTCAATTCCAGATACTATACACTGCATTCCATAATTCTCACGATGGATTGGGAAAATCACAACAATTTTAGGAATGTTAACGAGATGGGATGGCATAAGTACAATAACCTCGTGTAGAAAACAGTGAATACAACAGTTTCACTTTTCAACAAAGTCCCCAAGCGTAAGCGTTGACATTTTTAACGTTACATCGAATTGTTTTTAAAAGGAAAGTAAAAGATTCATCAGATATTTTTCAATTTGAATATGAAAATCTCAAAACAGTCTCAAGTACAGTCTTCACTACACTGAACATGAATTTGATGAAATTCGAAAAGGGGTGAAAAGTATTATGATATAGAGAGACAGTGGAATATGATTGTTGATAGCCTTTTATATAATTCACCATTTTATTTTACAATAAAACAAATATCTAATATTTTTTAATAGAATAAATTCTGCAATTCAGCTAGGAGGCCGACGGCACAAAAGCGGTGATTATTGAAAAAAAGTTAGTGGTCTTCCGCGGGACTATATTCTATGACGGCATTCTCAAGAAAAAATTCAGTGTATACATGAAAAGTTGAACGACTCGTGCGCATTCATATTCTTGCATATCTTTATGATATTTGGTGGGATGGTAGATTATATCTAGATCTATAGAATGAATTAAATTAAATCACACATTGAAAAGAATTGTATGTAGAAAAATCGCGCCGGCCGATCAACTTTTTTTGGACCAAAAAAATCTTATTTTTTCAACTTTTTAGCAAAAACTGTAACGATCATACAATTTTGGATATTTTTTCCTGAAATTTTCTGAATATTGACTCCCTTATGTGGTTTAATTTATGTGAAAAAATCGGGAATTTATAATCATTTCAATGTAGTTTCCGTAAATCTCAAAGTTAGGTGAGTCACTTTTTAAAAATGGCCATTTTTGAGCTTATGGCGTCATCAAAGACGTTCTCGGATAACGTGAACAAGGAATATAATTTGCTTTTGTTTTACAAGTGCGTTCTCAATAAGTCTTAAATTTTCACAATTTGTTGTATTTATTCTTGGGTTTCAAATTATGTAATTTTGAGAAATAAATGTAATGAGGATATACCAAGATATTATCATTTAAATCAGGAACGCAAATTGACTCCATTCCCTATGACGTGTTTCGCTTTCATTTTTACGCCATTTTTGGTCGCGTACCTCTTTGGCATAAAACTGTAACAATTTGTCAATTTTTTATAGATCAATCTCAAATTTCACGTGTGGTATCTTCAATATTTTTTAAAATATTGTAGCGACTTTTTTCTAAAATAAAACGTTAATACAATTAATAAAACTTTATTCGAAAATGATGTTTAAAATTTGTGAAAAATATTGATTCCGTTTTGACGTCGGATTTGTCATTTAGAGTAAAACTTGGTGTCATCACTTTCAACATATGTTTCTCATTATAAAACTGAAGAATGTAGACTTAAATGTATTCACAGCTGAAGATTATATTCTTATTTGGAAAAGTATTTACTTTTGTGATGTTTGATGCTGTATTTTTAGAACAATTGACCATGCCATATTGACCTCTTAAACTATACAGAGTGAGAAACCAATATTGTGCCGTTTTATACAAAACAAACAAATCCCTGTCACAGTACTTGTCTATTTTGCAATTTAAACAGTATCAATCTGAATAATTTTCTTAATCTAAAACTATTTAATTTAAGAAAAATGGTTTTGATTGTCATGAGAGCCGTTAGAATATAAATAATCAATGACAGGTTCATTGCCTTACCCTGTATCTACCCGGAAGTGGAAGGGGAACTAACGTGTGTGCAATTTTGTTTGTTCTAACATGTGTCAAGAAAATAGAAAATATATTTTAGATTTAGATTCAATAAACCTCGTATATTTGATGTATATACTACATCAGTAAATATGTAGAAACTTAAGTTACATATCACAGACCATATAGGAGTGTCTTGTTCATTTCAATGTGACTACTAGGATGCTGAAAGTGAAAGATTTAAAAATTTAGAGTTCCAAATCGGACAGAAGGCTGAAGGTGTTTTTATAATTATAATTATGCTGAGTTGAGAGGAATGGATGACAAGTCAACGGACCTGTAGACTAAAGTCCATGGGATGACAACATGTTGGAACATCAAGAGCAAGCATCACCAATTGTGTAAGACATACGCCCATGGTGTAATTCCTGTTACCTTATCTGACATCACATGCAGTGCTCACCATTGACACCTGGACTTGCTGAAGTGAGGATTTCCCATGTTATAAAGTAAGCTTGACAGTAAGATTGTTCGGGATATTCAGGCCTGTAGACACTTTTTATCGATAGGAGGGGTTTTACCATGGGCTTTCAACTAGAAGGGTAGGCAACTTCCCATATTTCATACATAAGCATTGCCTTGGTTTTCAATTATCGTATCCTACCGACCACTTTAGATTGTGGTCGTACGCCTGTATTATTAGTAAGCCTGTCTTTCTACAATGTCGGAGAATGAAACTACGCATTGCACTATTAAATGACCTACCTCAATACATTCCAGAGTATTTTAGAATTCTTTTTATGTTGTTAGATCGCCAATTGTATGGGTTTATCGGCAGAACGAAGAGATTTTAGTTTTTACATCGGAAATATATCAGCAATTTTCTAAATGTCGGAAGAGTAATTCCCCAGGGATTTCCCTTATGACTGGTGCATGCCGGGAACTGAATGGATGAATTTGATGGTTGAAATAAGTTAAATATTACACGCAAATATTGCTATCAAAAACGAAAATATCTTCGTTCTGCCGATAAACCCCATACAATTGGCGATCTAACAATATAAAAAGAATTCTAAAATACTCTGGAATGTATCGAGGTAGGTCATTTAATAGTGCAATACGTAGTTCATTCTCCGACATTGTAGAAAGACAGGCTTACTAATAATACAGGCGTACGACCACAATCTAAAGGGGTCGTAGGATGCGATAAGTTTTCAAAATTGGAGAATGTACACATTCCAAGAAAATTCTTATTTTGTACTTTCTATTGATGATTTAAAGAAATAAATCAAAAATAAAAACATGATTATCATTATCTACATACATGTTGACAATTTAATAAAAATGGAATTCGTCATAATTATGGCAATAAAGAAAGTGAACATTCTCCCACAAATTATGTTTTTATTGGAATTTGTTCTAGGATAATACCCACAATGCAATGCTCGAAGAGAACATCTTGATACCTCTTGGTCTTTTTTGTTTACTTTTACATGATATTGAATAAATGTTATGCTTTAATCATATTGAAAATTGATTTTTATTCAAAATAATACTAAAACATATACATTTATGTAATACTTTTTGAAATATTACCGGAAGCATGGCATTGCTCATTTTGAAAGTCTCATGTTATTACACAGAGTTGCATACCCTTCTAATTGAAAGCCCATGATTTAACCAAGGGGGAGCTTTTGCCAAGGGGGAGCTTTTTGACAGTATTGGCTAAAAATCCATGCAAAAGGTGCTCAAACTGGTGAAAAACTGCTCAAACTGGTGAAAAACTGCATAATTTTGAAAGAGGGGCAGGGCTACAGGCCTGATAAGGTACAGCATGAGCATAGGCCCAGGTTAAAGTATAGTATAAGTAAGTAATATTATTCACAGGTGCACCACTTCAGTTGAAACATTTTAAAATCTCGAGGTCTAGGTACGAGTTCTCCTAACTTGTATCAAATTGTACATGTATTCCCAAATCTGTCCAAAATCTTCTTCAAAGTGGTTCTATGTAAGTTCATCTCTCTGGTTTATATATTATATAAAAGACTAGGGGATACTAGTCGAAAGTCTCAATGGGATAAATATTCTCTGAAGTAATGAATAAACTTACATGTATTTAAACATTCTTCAAAGTGTTTTTCAAACTTTTGCATATAATATTAGACTTACTAATACTTTAACCTGGGCCTATGAACATGAGAGTGATGAAATTTGAGCAAACTGATATTTTCATTGTTTCAGAAAGATTTGGTCTAGCTTCTTGATATTTTTATTTGTAAATGTTAGAGATATCATAGGACAAAAATAAGAAAATTCTAGTCTATATTATATTCACCATGCATTTTGGAAGTTTAGGGTCATATGCAAGCTCCAGATGTAGTATATGGTATAAGGCGCAGGTAAATTTCACTGAGATAAAACACAAATTCAAATTCATTGTGTTGTACCTAACCCATTACCATTTGGGTTAAAAAGATAAACATTTTCGACTCTGATTAAAAATTGTGTAGACTATTAATCATCATTCTTGTCTCATAATTTCTTATTCTAGCTAATACATAGATTGAATCTTCTCTGCTGCTGTAACATAAATGTTCTCTCTTTTCCTTGCTTAAAATGATCATATATTTTAAAATAGAATTTTCGGATTCCATTCCGAAATTTAAAATTATGTATTATTTAATATTTGTATAATAATTTTCAGTTTCAGGAATGAATTGGTACTGTGGCTGTTAGAAGACAATGGATTTCACAATAACTTTTCATGAAGGCCTTCATAATATCAGGTAAATAATTTCTGTTTTAACCTTCATTAGCACATTCTATTTTACAACCAAAATGGTATTTTGGGGTAACGGAAATGATACCCCAGATCTAAATGCTGACAATTTTTTTTCTGCGCAATATCTCATCTTGGTGCATTATTGTCAACAACCTCCAGAATGAATGCTTTGGCTCGATGGAAATGCCATTGAGCACACTGACAAGGTGACAGGACCAAATCTTTCAAAAAACAATTGAAAAAGGCAATCACACCAAAACTGTTAATCATATTGAAGGTGCTGTGCATGTTTGTTTTGTTGTGATGGCCTTTTCCTGAATCATTTCCACTTGATAGATCTAAGCAGAAAGATTCAAACTGTAAAATTGCAGACTTCTGATACTTGACTACTCATTTTTCAGATTTTGTAAAAGCAACAACTGAATGGCCTATTGAAAGGATGTTTTGATGACAGCATACTTTGACTTCGGAGCAAGAGGGTCAAACAGCATCCTGTGGGATCAGCTGGACTTCTGTTGCTGTCTAGAAATTTCTGAACATTGACTATGAATACAACAGTCTTCCTACTCCCCTCCTGTGTCAGCTTCAACAGTCTAAACCAACCATATGACAGTAGTGTTGGGACAGTTAACTTAATTCCAACAAACAAGGTTTGGTAGGAATATAGTGAGCCCCCAGTCCATCCATTGAACAACTCAAGTACTAGTGGATGGATTTTTTTCATATTTGGTGGAAAGATGTGTTTTGGTAATTGTTTATAGCAAAAAAAACAATTTCTGAGATGGCTACCACTTTAAAATGTCAGGATTTTTTGTGAAAATCTAAAATTTTTGAGCAAAGTGGTGAATATTTCTGTTTGAAATTTTGGAAGTAAATTCACAAAATACATCTATTTCACCTATATTACGTGTTTTTCAGCCTGACCCCTAGGTATGTGTATGGGGTCGGGAATACTGGAATTTTCGTTTGTTTTGAGATCTTTTTCAGTACATGTATAGCTCTATAATCACGCCCGGTGATCGTGAATATGGGACGGAGGGGGGGAGCAGGCAATTTCTGCTAGGAAATTCAACAAATCTGGAAGATTTATTTTTTCAAGAAAAAGTTTACTATTGAATTGCTAAATGGATAGGCGCACGGTATGGTAGAATATGTTAGGTTTTCTGGGATTTTTTCTGAAACGATACGCATCTAAGGTATGAGATCTATTAAAAAAGGCGCAAGGCCATCAACAGGCACAAATCAACGTTTTTGCTATAAATCAAGCAACAGTGGTCTGGACGACCTGTAATAAATACTTGTAAGTGATGTTATCATAACTAAATTAATGTCATTGCTAAATTTATAAAATAAGTTTCCATATGTGAAATAAAAAATAATCGAAAATAATGAATTTGGGACGGAGGGGGGAGGGGACGGAGGGGGGGAGCAATATGTATATAAGACATGATTAGAGATGTTTCGCGACTTTAAGTCCTTTCATTCCAAATGTCCCCATTTTTCAGTCTCCAGGGGTATATCATCCAGTTTCTTACTAAGTAAATGAGTTCATTTTTCAAATACAAGAATTCGTGTGAAGTTGTTTCACTTTATAGAATTATTACTCCCCCCCTCCGTCCCCTCCCCCCCCCCCTCCGTCCCATTTTAATTATTTTCGATTATTTTTTATTTTACGTATGGAAACTTATTTTATAAATTCATCAATGACATTAATTTAGTTATGATAACATCACTTACAAGTATTTATTACAGGTCGTGTAGTCCATTGTTGCTTGATTTATAGCAAAAACTTTGACTTTTGCACGTTGGTTGCGTTGCGCCTTTTTTAATAGATCTTATATCTTATAAGAGTATCGGTTGAAAAATAATCCTAGAATACCTAACATATTTTATCATACCGTGCGCTTATTCAATTTGCAATTCAATCGTAAACTCTGTCTTGAAAAAATAATTTTACCAGATTTGTTGAATTTTCTAGCGGAAATTGCCTGCTCCCCCCTCCGTCCCATTTTCACGATCACCAGGCGTGATAATGCTAAAATGAAAGATTAATTCAAACAGATTTCAAGTTAAGTATTGTTTTTCTGATTTAGATTTAAGAAAATTCAAAGGGGCTGTCTAAATTGGGATTTCACAATTTCCCGACCACTTTCAAAAATAAGGCTATATGGCTATATTACACTCAAATTGAAGACATTGCAGAGTAGATCACAATAATGGTATTGTTTTTCTGATTTGATCCTCAGAAAATTCAAAATGGCCACCTAATAGGGAATTTCACAATATTTCACCCATCTCTTCAAAGTAAGACTATTATTATACTCAAATTGAAGGAATTTTAGAGTAGATCACAATTATTATATTGTTTTCTGATTCTTCACTCAAACTGGCTGCCCAAAGTATGGGCACATTTTATAACATTAGATCTCAAATACATGTAATGTGTTGTCTTTATGATCTCTGAAATAAACAATCATATGTGTGTATAAGGTATTATTGGAAAGATTATTCAATTCCCAGTATTTTGAGCTTACTTTTAAGTATATTGAGCCATTATTAATGAAAAAATTCATTTTATAAGAACACAACGATTTATCGTTTCAAGTCAAAATTACTGAAAATTTGGGCATGTCAGTAACTTTAACAAGTTCAACTTTTCTCCTAGGTGGGTTAAAAGAACATTTTTTCGCTAAAACATGCCTCGTGAAATTTAAAAAAAAATTATTTGACCTTGTACACTACCATGGTGTATTGTATCTCTATAAACAGGTCCTTTTTACTCGATTTTTGTATGATAAAAAATTGTTTGGGTCTGTTTCAAAGGACCAGGTACAGTATGGCAAGTGATTTTGGACAGTCATATCTTAATCCATTAGTACTTTCTTGCCAAAGCTCACATGGTGAGCTTTTGCAATCACTCACTTGTCTGTCCGTGCGTGCGTCCGTCCGTCCGTGAACAATAGTGGCACGTTTTAAAACCTCTGTCGATAGGAATTTGTTTTGAGTTATTTTTGTTCAACATCAATACAGAAAACTCCCCTCCGACTCCTGGTTCTAAAGCTCGCCTATTTTCAAGATGGCTGCCATTTTTGTCTCTTGAAATTCATTTTTGACCCATTTTCTAGCTTTACAAATAATGTCAGGTGTCCTGCATTGTTAAAATCCATGTCAATGTGAAGAGTAGTTATATGAAAACATTTTGTTACAAAAAATCAGCAAAAAATTGTATCTGTTTTTTTTATTTTCAGCCATTTAAGTTAACATGGATTTGTCCATCTGTCTTGCGAAATCCACTTTTGGACCATTTGCCTAAATCCTCTGTAGATAGGATTCCTGTTTTAGAATATTTTTGTTCAGCATCAATAAAGAAAAAACCCCTTTGACTCCTGCTTCAAAAGCTCGCCTATTTTCAAAACGGCCACCATTTTTGTCTTGTAAAATTCACTTTTGGCCCATTTCCTAGCTTTACGAATACAGGTGTTCCAGGTGTCCTGCATTGTAAAAGCCATGTCTTTGTAATAAAAGAGTAGTTGTATGATATAATTTTGTTACAAAAATCAGCAAAAACATCATATCCATTTTTTTATTTTCTGTCATTTTAGCCATCATTCACGTTTGAGCAACACCATGTGAGCCCAGTTCCCACGGTACTAATTTTTATTTAAAACAATGTGCTTTCTTTCAAGTGAAGTTCCAACAATTCCACTTGTGGAGGTGTTCCATTTAAAGAGGTGTTCCACTTTACAGGTTTTGAGAAAGTACTCATGGTGAAAGATATAATGACCTTCTAAAATCACTTGCCATACTTACCCTGGTCCTTTATGTTGGGTTATTAGGTATTAGACATGGACATGATATTAGATAAAATAAGATTATAAAAGTAATATTAATAAAATATTATTAAATAAGAATTGTGAAATAAATTGAATTGAATAAATGACAGAACTAAATTTGCTTGCCGATCCTGAATTAATGATTTATGCAACACAACATGATATCATGTTTTAAATTTCACACTGTATTAATGCTTTAAATGCTATATTCATAAAGTCAAGTAGTTGTGACATATTTCCTATTGTATTGCAATTAAGTTGTATGTTGTAGGCCTATATCAGTATGCCCTACACCAAAAGAAATAAAGCAATGTAAATACGTATATGTTACTATACTTATTGTATCTTTATTGTCCCAACGAACGAAGTTCTGTAGGGATATAGTGAAGCCCTCCGTCCGTCCGTCTGTCCGTCAGTCACACTGGAGGCCAATTAAGAGAACTTATCCTGGTATTCATGTTGGAACTTGAATTCGTCCGTCTGTCCGGAAGATAACTCGAATACTATTCAATAGATTTTCTTCATATTTAATGGAAAGATGTATATTGGTGAATAGTTTTACGCAATTTTTTTTTTCAAGATGGCCGCCAGTTTGAAAATGCCGGGAATTTTTCACAAAAATCTTATGTTTTTCATTTTAAACCAAAATAATAAATATTATTATTTGAAATTTTGGCAGTATATTAACAACATCTGTCTATTTCACATATATATCCCGAGTTTTTCACCCTGACCCCCAGGGGCCGTAAATGGGGGGTTTAGAAAACAGGAATTTGCGTTAATTTTGAGATGTATAGCTTTATTATACTCAAATGAAAGGCAATTTAGAGTAGATTGTAAATATTGAAGACTTTTTCTGATTCGGGCCTCAAAATGGCCGCCTAATGCGTGATTTCGCAATCATTTTCTGATTTCTTAAATGTATTGCTATATTATACTCAAATTGAAGGTATTTCAGAGTAAATCACAATAATTGCATTGTTTTTCTGATTTGCGTCTTTGAAAATTCAAAATGGCTGACTAGAGCAGAAATTCGCCATTTCTTAGATTTACATGATGCTACAATGATTTAATATATTTATTGAAGGTAAGAGTAGATGGTAAATATTATTTTGTGATTGTACAGATTGATGATTTACATAGTGTTCGTTGGGATTTGCTACTCCGTGGAGTTGCCATTTTCTGCTTCCTTATTGAGTTCAGTACAGAGTGATCATGACAAATATATCACAAAAATGGACATACATCATGACTAAGTTATCTCAATGTCATTTGAGCCATAGAGTACTGTTCTTTTTCCTCCCAAACATTTGCATAATGATCTAATTAGGTGGGTGTTTGGTGTACAGCTGGAAAATATTTGAAATACGATTTTGTTTCTATTATATGACTTCGAATTTAATGAGAAACAATTAAGAAAAATATTATAGACTAGTATAAAAATTCATTTACAGCGCGCAAAAGAAGCTAAGACGATTCTCTTGGATTTACATAAATCAGTCAACATTGGAGCACAGTATGTTTTCGTGAGTTTAATGTCCATATAACATGTTTAGTACCATGGTGCATGAGGTGTGAGCTATTCCTTAATCCATATCATAAATGAGAATATTTTAACTGAAAGAGGAAAAATTACACTCTTGTCTATTCTAAAAATACGGAATTTATACATATACTCATCATTCTGATTGGAATGACGCGCTAAAAAAGATTCGCAGGCCAGCGGAAATTGTGCCGTAAAATATGGCGCTGTTTTAAATGCGCCCACAGTGCAAAGAAATGTACCAAATCCATCTACTTCATCCAATATCAATGAATTTTCTATTAGCTGTTATTTGGAACATGTGTAGTGTGATCGGATGAAAACATATTTTCTACACAAAATGGGCATCTTGAATTTGAATTTCGAACATTCGTCTTTAAGAAATGAAAACGATCCGTCTTTAGAATAGGTTAATTGTTCATAAGTGTCGATATCTTTAAACCCTAATACTATTTTCAAAGTGTCTTATTGTAGATTGATTTTTCAATTTCATAACTTAATATTTGGCGTACACATTATTCAATACGCCTTTACGAGACTTATGTTATTTCGATCGTTTTATTTGGAATTTCAATGGGCGAATTTCATGTTCAAGCTTGATGTCAGCTGAA